GGCCTCATTTCAAAGTCCCATACTCCAGTTACAACCTTCCCTAGTGATGTCATGAGTTCAACCCCTCATGGGGGTTCTCTAGGCAAAATATCAGGAGAACTTTTTTTTGTTGTCTGGCCTCCTTTAATTGGTTAATTGATTTGTTCTTCTTTTTTAGAAATTTTATTTTTTTGAAATTTTCGAGTTGAAGTTTTCGATTTTTTTTCTTCAAAATCCATATTTCTTCTCCAAATTATAGGGTACTTTTTTGGATTCTGGAAGAAAAAAAAAAGGATTTTTACTTTTTTGGAGAATTCTTTGGCTGCAAAAATCTTTTTTTTTTTTGAAAATTTTGAAAACCTTAAAAACACAATTTTAGAAAAACCAGTTATCCAGAAAATCAGAAGTTCCAAAATCCAAAAAAATAAAAAATTCTAGAAAAATTCTTAGAAGTTCGGAAAATCCAGAAATCTCAAAACTTATAAAATTCCAAAAAAAATTCCAATATCCGAAATTTGGAAAATTTTCAAAAAACTGAAAAATCTGAAAGATCTGAAATCCAGAAAGCCCAAATTTCAATTTTCCAGAAATTCAGAAATTCCAGAAAGTTAATTTCAGAACAATCTGAAAACGGGAATTTTCGGAAATTCAGAAGCAAAAAATCAAAAAACCCAGAAAATTTTGAAATTCATGAATTCTGAATACCAGAAAAAGAAGAATTCAGAAATTCTAGAAAATTCTAAAATTCTGGAAATCCAAAACATCCATGAGTTCAAATGCGGTGTCTGAAAATCCCAAAAACCCAAAAGTCTGAAAAAAAAACCAAAACCAGAATATCTGGAAATTTCAAAAACCCAACAATCAGTAAATCCAAAAACTCGAAAATCCTAAAAATTCCAAAAACTTGTTAATCTGAAAATTTCAAAAAACTGAAAATCTGAAAATTACAAAAACCCAATAATCCTAAGAATCCCAAAAACCTGAAAACTACAATAATCCTCAAAAAACTTCCATTCCAAAAATCCCACATATCGACTTTCCAGAAAGTGAGAAATTCCAGGAAATTCTAAAATTTAGGAATCCTGATTCAGGATTCCTGAAATTCTGAAAATCTCAAAAACCTGAAAATATGAAATCTCTAAAATCCTAAAATCCTAAAAATCCCGAATATCTCCAAATTTTTAAAAACCCCAAGACCCAAATTTCTCTATTCCTCCCCTCCCAATGCGTTCCTTTTTTTTCTCAAAAAAACTTTCCAAAAAAAAAACGAATCCTGTTTGTAACTTTTCAAAAAAAGATGGAGTGTGTCTCTCTCTCTCTCTCTCTCTCTCTCTCTCTCTCTCTCTCTCTTCTCTAACCACCCTCCACCCACCCCATACTCTCTAATTTTTGCACTTTTACCTTCTTTATTTTCCGTCCTTCGAAAAGGGGACAAGGGAAAGAACACTGAAAAAAGCGAAAAAATTGCGTCTCCCTCTCTCCCCTCTCTGCACCCTCTTCTCCCCACACACTCTCTCGTCGGGCCTGGGGGTGAGCGCCGTCGGCGCCGCCGCTCCGGCGAGACAGTGTGTGGGGAGAGGAGTGCGGCGAGAGTAACCGCCGGGGCCTGAGGGACACGGCCGTGTGTCGTCTCCCCCAGGCAAAAACGACGCAAAAAAAAAGATGGAAAATGGATGGAAAAAAGAGGCAAAAAACGACAAAATACTGGGTGAAATTGTGAGAGAGGGAAAGGGTTAGCCTGGCGAGAGAGACAGAGGACGTGATGTGTGTGTAGAGAATTTTCTACACACACATACACACTTTTATCGTTCTCCCCCAGTACCCCCCCCCCTTTTCTCAATACCCCAAAGTGTTCTTCCCCACAAAATCGCCCAAAAATGGCGCTGGAAAAACCCAAAAATTTGGAAATAATGGAGCCAAAATTTCTAGGCCACGCCCATTTTTCTAGTCCCCTGGGGTCTTTTAGCCGTCCAGGGACCCTTAGGTACTCCCTGAGAAGGTCAAATTATCTCAGATTTGGCCTATATTTAGAATCCTTTTCCCTAAGCTCCGCCCCCATTTTTTTGGGACAGGTGGGCGGAGCTAATCCCCATGGATTAGAAATTAAGGTCAATTTATTTTTGACCTATGCTAATCTAAGGATTTTAATCTAAGGATTTTTTTGGCCTAGCTTTTTTTGGTTTTTTTTTCGCCGGTTCGTGAAATTTTTTAGACTCCGCCCACTTTTTGAATTTTGATTTTAAATTGTTTTTTCAAATTTTCTAAGCCCCGCTCACTTTTTTGGCTTGTTTTTCGTTTTTTTTCGACCAACTTTTGGAGCTTTTTAAAAGTGGGCGTGGCCTATTTTTACCAAACTACACACACTTTTCTCGCCCCGTCTTCTGCCTGATATGTTGCTTCCGATTCAAATTTATTGGAAATTTTAGTGAAAAATTTTAGGTTTGTTTATTTTTGCGCTCCAGCTCATCTTGGCCGAGTTTTCCAATTTTCTAGGCCACCATTCATTTTTTTCCGTCCACTTGAAAATAAGGAAAAAAGAGAAGGCATAGTTTAATGGAAACCAGCTGTCTTGGCGCCGCGGCTTTATGAGCCCTGGCTCCTTTCCCCTCACCCCCAGGGCTCCTTGGGGCTCAAGGAGCCCTGGGGGTGAGGGGAAGGAAGGGAGCCGAGACGCAGGGGACCGCGCCACTTCTCTTCTTCTTTTTTTTTTGAATTTTTCTTCTTTTTTGTGTCTGTTGGCCTTTTTGTGTCTGTTGGCCACTTTGGGCTCAAATTCTAGGCCATTTTAGGCTCAAAAATTGATTTTCAAAATCTTCGAAAAAAACATTTTTCAGCAATTGTTTTTGTTTTTTGGATTTTTGTAGTTTTTTCTCTTCATTTTAGCATCCTTTAACTCTAAAAGTTCTTCAAATTAGCATAGTTTTCACTAGAAACAATTTTTTCGAAACACAAAAACTATGCCAATTTTTTGCTGAAAATTGCCTTCGTTGGCATTTTCCGAGCATTTTTCTTGTATTTTTGCTTTTTTTTTACATTTTTCATCCAGAAAATCGGCTTTTTCTTGTCGGAAATCCCTGAAAATATGGAAGAAAAGCTCTACAAATATTTTATTTACCATACCTTTCTACATACCTTTTTTAAAGGCGCAAGCTCTAATTTTACTTTCGTGGCGGGACCCACCACACTAAAAAGTTTTGTTTTTACTTAGTTTTCAACGTCTTTCGAAGCTGAAAATTGCTGAAATTATCAGAAAAAATTAGTAAAATTAATATTGAATTAATTTACAACAAAAAACAGCAAAAATTCCAGAAAAATCGCTTCAAAACAGCATATTCTTGAAATCTACAGTAACCCACAAAATATATTTTATTTTATAACATTTTTTTTCATGAATTTTCGCTCAATTTTTACTTAAAAATTACCTAAAATATCGGATTTTTTCTTGCAGGGCCACAGTTGGCGAACGGGTAGGCAAAAAAAAAGCCGATCGCCTCGTTACTCGAAGAAATCACTTGGACAACGTCGCTGGAGGAGGGAAATAAATTTAGAAAAAATTCAGATTTTTTTTCTAAATTTGCAATATATATATAATTTGAAAAAGAGTGCCGAAATTCGGCGGGAATGCGACGTTGGATTGGGTCGTGATTTTGAAGGGAAAGGTGGGTTTCTGAATATCTGAGAGAAAAAAAATAATTTCAATTTGATCTACCCCTCTAAATTTCTGCATTTTTTCCTTTATTTTCACTGATCTTTCAGCGGTTTTTTCTGTGATTTTCGCTCATTTGAAGCCCTTTGTCTGCCGATGCCCTCCGGTCATTTCTTCTAATTTTCTATTCGAGAATGTTCTATTTTTTCTTTGCATTTTTTTCAGCTAACTTCTCATCAAGTGCCTTGTTGGCATGCATCGATGAGCTGGGGGTGCTTCTGAATTAATAGAATGTTCTAGTTTCTTTTTTCCGGAAATTAGTGTTTGTCCTATTTTTGTTCTTCTGGAAAAACGAGGAATTTTTGGCTGGAAATTTACAGATTTTTGCGGATTTTCACTTTTTATGGATTCCAGAGGCTCAGTTTTCCGAAATTTTCGCCAAAAATTCTCTAAAAAAATCTGAAAATTTTCAGAATTTTTCGATGAAAATCTGAAAATTTCTACTGTATTTTCGAGTCTTGAAAGTTAATTTACATAGTTTTTTAGCAGAAAAAACTGGTTTTTAGACGATTTCCAGCTTATATTTTAGATTTTTAGCGAAATCAAAAATGTCAAAAAAATTTTTTTTTTGAAAATTTTACTTTTTTCGCAAACTTTTTTTGTAAAAATCTTTAAAACTTTTGAATGTTTTGAATTTTTCGGAAAAAAAAATTCAAAATTTCTCCAAATTCCTACGAAAATTTCGCTGAAAATCTGAAATTTTCGAAATTTTCAAAAAAAAATTCTCAAAGCTATTTTTTGTAAAAATCTTCAAAACCTCCAAATTTTTCAAAATTTCGAGCGAAAAATTCAAAATTTCTTCAAATTCGTGCGAAAAATTCGCTGAAAATTTTAAATTTTTTTCACAAATTTTGGCTTCAAAACCTCGAAAAACCTTTTTCCTCGATTTTCTTCGATTTTTCGATTTTTTTTCTCGGCGGGAATTCAAAATTTCTGTGAAAAGTGTGCTAAAAGTACCACACTTGAGCCTTAAAGTGTCGTGTGAAAACCGAAAGTTCTGGAACTTTTTTTCGAGAAAATTGAATTTTTTCGAAATTTGAAAATATCGATTTGTTGAGTAAAAATCGCTGAAAATCTGAAAACATTTCACCGTTTTTAAGAGGGAGAATTAAAAGATTTCGAAAAAAATTTTTGAAAAAAAAAAATTCAAAAAGTCGATTTTCAGCTCAAAATCACACAATTTCAAGCTTAAAAAACCTAAAAATCTCAATTTCGCCCTCAAAAATATCGAATTTTGGGTCAAAAATGCTCAAAATTTCCCATTTTCAGACTTGGAAAAGAAAGACACCAGTCAAAAAAAGAAGACGTAAAGAGGATGACCACCACCACGAGTACGGCAACGCTGACACTGGAAACCACCGACGGCGGTGAGCAGCACGAAAAACGGCAGAAGTCGTCTGGACGTCTTCTGAATCAATCGATCACCGATATTATCGATTTGGACGCCAACGACAGTGGAAACGAGTTGTCGATGGGTGGAAGTAGCAGTGAAGGTTCGTTTTGTGGAGACATCTGGACACACAGATGAACGGAATTCAGTGAAAAAACGGGGATAAATGAGTCAAAAATGGCCGGAAAAGGCTGAAAATGGGAATAAAAGACATCCGGATAAACAGACACACAGATGGATTTTGAGAATGCTGAAATGGAGTAATTTTAAGTTGAAAATGCATTAAAACTACCTTGAATTAAAAGGTGACCTAGAAATCCCTATTTTGTGACCTCGAAATCCAAATTCGATGGCCTAGAAACCTTTAGATGGCCTAGAAACCTTCAGATGGCCTAGAATTCCAAATTCAGTGGTCTAGAAGTCTATTGATGGCCTAGAAACCGTTACATGACCTAGAAATCTGTGGATGACCTAGAACCCTTTGAATGGCCTGTAATTCCAATTTCGCTGGCCTAGAAACCTCTAGGCGGCTCACAGTATTTAAACTACAGTGGTATGCAGTTGCGCTCTACTGAGAAGGGGGCGTGACACAAGTTTCAGGGGAAAAACAGGAAAATTGGGAGCGGAGGGATTCAAATTCAGGATAACTAGGCTAGTCAGTACAATACAGCGAGAGACGCAGAGAGACGGACAGTTTGTAATTATCGGGGCCGCGAAATTTCATTTCCAGCTGACACGCTACGGCTCATTAAAGCACAACCAATTTCGGTGGCCTAGAAACCCCAAAATGACCTAGAAATCCCTATATGGCCTAGAAAATTCAATATAACCTAGAAACCCAAATATGACCTAAAAATCCCCATATGACCTAGGAAACCCTATATGGCCTAGAAATCCCTATATGGCCTAGAAAATTCAATATAACCTAGAAACCCAAATATGACCTAAAAATCCCCATATGACCTAGAAAACCCTATATGGCCTAGAAACTCATGATCTAGAATGCCTCATTTGATGACCTAGAAAGCCCTATATGGCCTAGAATCCCTCATTTGATGACCTAGAAACCCAAATATGGCCTCAACCCCTAATTCAAAATTCAATTTTGGTGGCCTAGAAACCTTCGAACCCCTAGAACCCTCCTATATGGCCCAGAAACCTTCAGATGACCTAGAAACCCCAATATGACATATAAAGCCTTATATGGCCTAGAAACCCCAATATGGCCTAAAAACCCAACATGGCCTAGAAAACCCTAAATGGCCTAGAAATCACTATGTGGTCTAGAAACCAATAAAATGACCTAGAAACCCCCGCCAATTAAAAATTTCCTGTCATTTCCAGGCGACTCATCGTCCCACCACCGCGGCGAGCACTCTCCCAACCAACACCATCATCACCATCTATACCATCAGGAGAGTCTTCTCGGTGTGCCACGTGGCAGCAGCAACAGCACATCTACCGTATTCCAACCGTTCGGCGGCGGCGGATCATCGCTATTCGATACGCCACAATCGATGCTCTCATCGCCGGCAGCGCTGGCGGCGGCTCAAGCTCAAACGGCTATGTCACCATCGGGATTCGGGACCATCGATATGCGAAGCGAACTGTTTCGGTGTGCCGTGTGTCAGAAGTGCGAGCGAATGGGCGGAGTCTTGCAGTTCGTTTGTGCGCATAAGTGAGTTTCTTTTCGATGGCCTAGAAATCCCTAATTTTGGTGGCCTAGAAACTTTGAGATGGCCTAGATTTGCAGGCCTAGAAACCCATAGAAGGCATAGAAACCCCTAGATGGCCTAGAAACCCCTAGACGGCCTAGAAATCCATAGAAGGCCTAGAAATCCATAGATGGCCTAGAAATCCACAGAAGACCTAGAAACCATTTACCTCTTCCAGAACGTGCCAATCGTGCTTCCAATCTCCACCATTCAACGCTCCATTCGATTTGCCACGTCATCATTGCTCACTCTGCGGAGCCGGGACAGCGACCGCGGCCAACTTTCCACCCCAAATGTTCCTGTCGCCAACCCTAACGACACCACCACACGCGCCGGGTCTTCTTCTCGATGCCACGTCGTCATCCATCGGATCTGCCACGTCATCATCATCCAACCAGAAGACGTCCACCCCAAGAGCCTTCTCGTTCTCGTTGAGCGGTCTTCCCGGCACACCATCGCCGATTCAGATGCCACGTCTCTCGATGGACACGTGGTCGCCAATGGGATCCTCGGTCGCGGCCACCACACCATCTGCCGGACCATCACCTTTGACGATTCGGAATTTGCCAAGTTTGGGAGCCCAACAGAAGTCGCCAATGATGCAAAGTGCGTTTGATTCGTTGGCTGTGGTGAGTTGGTGATGGCCTAGAAAATCTAGGTGGCCTAGAAATCCAACTCCTCAAATTTCTTCTTCCAGAACGACGACACCCCGGTGTTTTCGCCACTGTCACCAACCAACACCTCGTCCCACATGCCACCATCGCTAATGGCTTCATCTGAAGACACGCCACGTCATCTGTCCACCATTGCTCCAGCCACGCACTTCAATGTGCTGGACGCCACGTCATCCGACGATGTCGTCGTCGTCTTCGATGACACCGGTGCCTTGTAATGGACAGGTGTTCACGATGCCATCACCGTCGCCACTTCAGAATCCACCCGTCAATGGTCCGGTTCCACCTATTCCGTGTCAAGGATGCGAGGGAAATGGGTGAGTTTAGCGGACGTTTGGACCGACCGTATGCGGCGGTCGGTCGGCGGTCGATCGGCTTTGATAGCTGTTGGTCGGATCTGTCGCGGATCTGTCGGCGGTCGTTGGCTCTGGCACAGCGGTCGATCGGATCTGCCAGCGGTCGATCGGATCTGTCGGCGGTCGGTCGGCTCTGACACAGCGGTCGATCGGATCTGTCAGCGGTCGGTCGCATCTGTCGGTCGGATCTATCGGCGGTCGGTCGGATCTGTCGGTCGGATCTATCGGCGGTCGGTCGGCTCTGTCAGCGGTCGATCGGATCTGCCAGCGGTCGATCGGATCTGTCGGCGGTCGATCGGCTCTGACACAGCGGTCGATCGGATCTGTCAGCGGTCGGCCGGTTCTATCGGCGGTCGGCCGAATCTATGGGCGGTCGGTCGGCTCTGTCAGCGGTCGGTCAGATCTGTCGGCGGTCGGTCGGATCTGTCGGCGGTCGGTCGGCTCTGTTGGCGGACGGTCGGCACTGTCAGCGGTCGGTCGGCTCTGTCGGCGGTCGGTCGAATCTAAAGTGTTTTTTCCAGAGCATTCGCGTTCTGCATGCAATGCCAAGAGGCTCTGTGTGCTCACTGTGTCCAAGCTCATCAACGGGTCCGTGCCACGAAGCAACACGCGTTCATCGAGCTCAACCAGCTGGTGGCCACTTTGGTACGACAGTTTTGCAACTACGTTCCATTGAGAATTTTCTTCAAATTTCAAATTGGGACGAAAAACCTGGAAAAAATGGGGTTTTTTGGCTCAAAATTGGTTGAAAATAGCACTGAAAACCCTACTTTTGAACCCCTAGCTAATGCAACTGCGCTCCATTGATAATTAGGAGCAATATCTTGGAAATTTGGGGTTTTTGGGCTCAAAATGGAATCAAAACGATATTTAGTGACTCTGGACAGTGAAAGTGCGCTCCATTGACAATATAAACAAGATTTATCAATGGAGCGAACTTTCTTATCATCCTATCACCAACGGGAACCTATCAATCAAATTTCCTTATCACATTTTTTCAGAAAACAAAAGTGACACAATACAAAATTTTTGAGTACTTTTTTCATCAATATAATGCAACAATTTTTTCTCTCTTATCACTTACGACTCTTTTCTATCGATACGTTGCGATTGTGTTCCAAATTAGGGCTAAACCTAGATTTTGGAGAAAGCGCGCTCTATTGAGATTTTTGTCAATAGAGCGCACTTGCTATAGATAGCTCGGATTTCATCAATTGGAAAAGTGGCCTAGAAATAGCGTCGTGTCAGATCCTAGGCCAGCTCATTCTGACTGTTTTTAGCAAGGTGGCCTAGAATTTACTCGCGTCGGATTCTAGGCCAGTATCATTATAAGCTACTGCTGGCCTAGAAGTGTTTATAGCGGTTTCTAGTCCACTTCATCTCGCCGGTTTTTCGATTTTAGTCACGTGGCCTAGGAATTCAGGATTGTCGGATTCTAGGTCATCCTTCGAGCTCTGGATCTTTCGACTTCTAGTGGCCTAGAAATCACATGTTGTCAAAATCTAGGTCATCAAACAAGACGGTGGATTTTGGACGCGTCTGCTGGCCTAGAAATATAGGATTGTCGGATCTTAGTCCACCATCTCCCTGACGCATCTACTGGCCTAGATTTTGTTTAGTTGTCGGATTCTAGGCCATCATACAAAACGGCGGATTTGGACGCATCTACTGGCCTGAAAGTATAGGATTGTCGGATTCTAGGCCACCATCTCCCTGACGCATCTACTAACAACCTAGAATGGACTGGTTGTCGGATTCTAGGCCACCATTTTAATCTTTTCTCCATCACGAATCTATTGGCCTAGAATTTCCGGTTTTTCGGATTCTAGGCCATTATTCGAGCACTGGATTCTTCCTCTTCAAGTGGCCTAGAATTCCCTAGTTGTAGGATTCTAGGCCATCATACAAAATGGTGGATTTGGACGCATCTACTGTCCTAGAAGTATAGGATTGTCGGATACTAGGCCACCATTATTATGTCAACGTGTCTAATGGACTTGAATTGTGTCTAATGGACTTGAATTTCTTTTTGGTCAGATTCTAGGCAACCGTTCGTTCATCTTGTAGTGGTTAGAAACCACATTTCATCAGAATCGTCTAATAGCATAGAATTTCCTAATTGTCGTCGGATTCTAGGCCACCATCTCCATGGTACATCTACTGGCCTAGCTTGTTTTAATTTGTCGGATTCTAGGACGCATCTACTGACCTAGAAGTATAGGATTGTCGGATTCTAGGCCATCATTCTGGCTTTGGTCCCTTCCGCTTCCAGTGGCCTAGAAATCTAACATCGCCTGATTCTAGGAAATTGTATTTAGTAGCCTCGAAATTGGCGATTGTTCGTATGCTAGGCTTCCTACGAATCGTGACACATATAGTGGCCTAAAAACCACAAAACATTACTTTCTAGGCCAAGGATTTTCATTTGCACTTTTGGATTATTTTCTCCTCTTCACTCACTGCTCCGTCCGTTTTTTCCCTTAACCCGTCCGCCGTTCATCCGTCCGTCGTCCGTCGGGCGTTCCTAACGCCGTCATCATTGTTGTCTAGGGGGCTGACGGAGCTCCAATTTTAGAGTGGTGAGGTTCTCTTTTTGCTGCACTTTGCTAGAGGTGACACTCTCCATTTTTCGGCTTCTCATCCATTCGTTTCCGCTTCTTCTCTCTTCTTCTTCTTCCCGTTTCTCCCAGAGAAACGGACGGGACCCCAATTTTTTTGCGCCCCGGGAAATCCCCCCTCTCTTTTTACCTCAAGTGGAGGAGGAAGAGAGCAAAAAAAAAAACGACTATATAGCTTTGGCTGGTTCCAATGTTAATGGTAGGCTTTTTTGGTTTTGGATGGCCTAGATTTTTTCATCGATTTCCTAGGTCACGGAAAGTTTTCTAGGCAACAAGAAATCTTCAAAGTGATACTGGCCGAGTTTTGGGTTTTCTAGGCCAGCTAGGATCCTGGGAACCCCAGGATTTGGGCTCCTAGGCCACCAAGAGTCCAGTGGCCTAAAAGAACCATAGTCGTCAGTTCCTAGGCCATTCAGCTTGATTGATGGCCTAGAAATTGTAAATTGTCGGATCCTAGGCCGCTTTCGAAATGTCGGTTTAACCTTATCATTTATGGCCTAGAAGTCTATTTTAGGAGTTTCCTAGGCCAGCTCCTCTGTGGCCTAGAATTAACCGAGTCAAATTCTAGGCCATTCTAGTCTAGTCTAGGACAAAGTCTAGCGGCCTAGAAAAGTTCGTTTTCTAGGCCACCATTCAAAAATTAGGCCATCAAGCTAAAACACCCTAGTGTTTTCTAGACCGTTTTAGCATGACGGCCTAGAGAACTCGAATTGCAAAAGTTAGGCCACGAAGTTAAAATAGTCTAAAGACACACTAGATAAAGGGACTATTTTTAGGTCACTTTAACATGATGGCCTAACTTTTGCAAGTGGAGTTTTTTAGGCCACCAACTATTTTAGCCTATAAATGGTCAAATATTCAGCTGGTAAGTTTTTAGACCATTTTAACATAGTGGCCTAACTTTTGCGAGTTGAGTTTTCTAGGCCACCATGCTAAAATGGTCTAGAAACAATTCTAAACGAATATTAGATTATTTTCAGACCATTTTAACATGGTGACCTAACTTTTGCAACTTGAGTTTTCTAGGCCACCATGCCAAAATGGCCTAGAAACTCGCACAATCCTCGACCACCAAAAAAACAACAATTATTTTTTCCAGATGTCACGCATGCAACACCAACAACAGGCGGCTCAAATGATGCACCAGCAGCAACAACAAAACGGACCCTCCTCGTCATCCTCATCGTCTCTGCCACCAGTACAATTCTTGGGATCAACTGGACGACCGACACTCGGATCCGTCGGAAGTGGAGATGGTAAGAGATGGCCTAGGAATCCAAAACTCGGTCATTGGGTTATCAGAGCATTTTAGCTCCAATTCTGTTTTACAAGCTCCGCCCCCTCCCTTTTCAATGTTGGTGGTGGCCTAGAAAGCCAGAACTCATCCACTGTTTTGAACTTAAAAAATGCAAGCTCCGCCCATTTTGATCATGGCCTAGAAATCCGAAACTCGTCCATTAGATTTTTATGACCCTTTTAGCTCCGCCCCTTTGATCTTGACCCCAACCTTTGTCAGTTTTCTTTCCAGGCCATGGAATGGACGATTCGACGACAGCTTCCGGAGAATCGTCTCCACGATCCTCATCGGTGTGCGGTCAACACGAGTCCCCAATCGTTGGCTTCTGCGAGCACTGTCCCCAATCGTCGCTGTGTGCGATCTGCGTAGCTCAGCACCCCGGCCAACATCGCGTCCAACCGATTGGCGATGTTCGAATGGCGGTCGGCGAGCTGACGAACGAAAGTCAAGTGTTGCAGTGGCAATGTGAGAAGACGGGCGAGACGATTCAACGGCTGATCGACGGCATCGTCAATAATGCATCGGTAAGCATGAGCAATTCGATTTTTGGCATAAAAGTTGTGAATTTCGATCATTTTTGACCCTAAAAATGTCAATTTTTGAACTTCGAAAACCCCATTTTTAAGATCCAAAAACTCCCGAAAAAGTGGTGGCCTAGAATTCCCGGATCCTAGGCCATCGCTTCGTCTGGGCCGCCTAGTCTAATCCTTGTCATTCTAGACGGCCGAAAACGAGATCCGCACCGCATTCGACACCCACGTCAACGCGTTGGAGGAGAGGAGAAAGGAGTTGTTGAAGAGGTAATTATAGCGTTGATTAGGCACTAATTGGTTTAATTAGCTTGTTTTTCGAGCGTTTCTAGCTTGAAATCAAGCTCAATTAGCTCATAATTAGATTCACCCCTTTTTCACTAATTTAGCATGGTGGCCTAGAAAACTCTAGGTGAGAAAGTTAGGCCACCATGCTTAAATTATCTAGAAATGAGCAGATATTCTCCTGATGTGCTTTCTAAATCATTTTAACATGGTGGCCTAACTTTTGCATTTTGATTTTTCTAGGCCACCAACTTTTTGACCTAGAAATGATCAAATATTCATCTGGTAGGTTTTCTAGGTTAATTTAACATGGTGGCCTAACTTTTGCAATGTGGGTTTTCTAGGCCATCATGCTAAAATGGTCCAGAAAACACATTAGGGTGAATATTAGACCAATTCTAGGTCATTTTAGCATGGTGGCCTAACTTTCGCAACTATATCTTTCTAGGCCACCATGCTAAAATGGTGTTGAAAACACACTAGGTGAATGTTAGACCATTCCTAGGCTATTTTAACACTGTGGCCTAACTTTTGCAAATTGAGTTTTTTAGGCCACCAACTTTTTAATCCTAAAAATGATCGGATATTTGCCTAGTGTGTTTTCTAACCATTTTAGCATGGTGACCTAGTTTTCTCAAGTTGAGTTTTCTAGGCCACCATGCTAAATTGCGAAGAAATGACTTGATATTCGCCTGGTGTGTTTTCTAGTCCATTTTAACATGATGACCTAACTTGAGCTTTCTAGGCCACCATGCTTGAATGATCTAGAAAACACACTAGGTGGATATTAGACCATTTCTAGGCCAGCATCTAGTCTAATTAGCCTATAATTAGCCCTAATTATCGCCCAATTTTCCAGAGTGGAAGCCGTCAAGTCCCTGAAGCTCTCCGTGCTCATCACCCAAGCCGAACATCTCAAATCGAAGCAGCTGGACCTTCAAAACGCCATCCAACTCGCCAAACATCAAATGGACACGGATTCCGACGACGCGTCGTCTCTCCGACAGATCTTCGATCAACTGATCGCTTGTCAAATGTGCTCCACCGAACCCAACAACAACATGCTCAACGTGTTGATGCTGGCGTGTCAACTCAACGAGGACGATCGTCTGAAGTTCACCGCTCCACAGGACGGCATTCTGCTCAACAAGGCTCGCCAATTCGGTTCCATCGAGTCGGGTCCATGTGCGAAGACCAGCTCCATCGTTGGAGACAACTTCAAGAAGGCGATTCGCGAGCGACAGACTGTGATCTACGTTCAGCTTCGCGATGCTTGTGGTGACCTTCTCTCCTCGTCGATCGCAGCTACTCAGCCAACAGCCCAAGCACTTCTTCCCCATCAAGCACCACACGCTCATCTGGAACAAGCCATGCCGACAGCCGACGTTCAGGCGTTTGTGATCTGTCCCAATGGAACACCAGTGGATGTTTCGATGACTCCAAGAGAGAATGGAATCGTCGCCGTCTCCTACTTCCCAGCGACTGAAGGATCCTACACTCTGAACATTCTGGTCAAAGGATCCCCAATCCAAGGATGTCCAACAACGATGGAAGTTCGACGAGGACGAAACTACGATGAGATCGCCGCCAAAGGACCAATCCTGACGTTCGGAAAGGAAGGATCTGGAGATGGCGAGTTGTGCAGACCATGGGGAATCTGTGTCGATCAGCTTGGCCGAGTGATCGTTGCCGATCGATCCAACAATCGAGTCCAGATCTTCGACAAGGATGGAAACTTCCTCACGAAGTTCGGAGCCAGTGGAAATCGTCCAGGACA